AAATCGCTTATCGAGCTGAAAAATCACAAGCAGCCGGAATGACGAACGAGTTCGCCGATTAAGCCGGAACGACGTGATAAGTAGAGTTAACAACGCACGCATGGGTCGTGCACCATCTGTTAAGAGCTTATCGCGGCCCGTAACGCACAATTCGAAACAACACACAGCGTCTTTACTTATCTTCTATTTTTTTGCATATACGATAATTCGCAGGTACGACAAATCGCGCGATACCCTGTACATCTACATGCGTGTTCCTCGATCGTCGACCTTTCGTACGGTTTTAATTTATTATATATCGTGCGCCGCGGAGCCAAAATTTTTTCCCTGTCGCAAAAGAAGCTTCGGTGCGCGACTATACGACGACAATTTTCGCTATTCTCTCGGTTATTTTTCTTTCGGACTTTATTTCGGGCTTTCCCTCCCGGGCAAAACGCGCGAGTTTCGCGCGCGCGTCTCGAATTTAGAATATAAAATCTAAGCCGTAGGGAAAGGCTGTTAGATATCGATCCTTTGGCTGTCGCGCGGTGCATTCTAGCCGTCGTATACGACGGTAAATATTACATGCACTGGGAATGGTAGACGCGTCCGCTGTTCTAGCGTATTTCAGCGTATATATATATATATATATGTATACGTATATATCCTTCGCGTCGATATAAACGGCGATTACTTTCGCGAGCCATTCATTTTCATATAGTTCGCGCAAATGGACCTTTTCACATCTTTCATACTGTATATATCGTCGAACAGGGCGTTCAAACGTCTGAGTTACTGTCGGAAATCACGGAATCTTTATTGACCCCCTCCTCCCATTCAGCTGCGCGCGTTCGAAAGATTAGACCAGCAGGTCGAAGAAGATTTTAATTTCCCTTTGCTCATTCAATCGAAGTACCTTATTTCCGCCGGACACAATCCGGATTCGTATTTTGATCCAAAGAAGCGTCATGTTTTATTTCGCAGTGGGGCTCTCCGCTCGCGCCTTTACGATTCTGAATGTCACCGTTTTGCCGAGAAGAAGAATCTTAAATAGCGAAATAGCTGCAGAAAAGCTATTCTCGATCGCGCGTGGCGGAAAATATCGAAGGGACGAACTTTATCATTCTCTAAGTGATAAATCGCGTAACTTCAAAGCTCATGCTCCCCAAGGGAAATAATAATCTCCTCGTAATTTCGACGGGAATGTTAATATATATATATATATAATTTTTTTTTCGTTAAATCGATATCAGAGAATTTGATAATCTCTCTGCGTTATACACAGCGACTTGGGAACGACACATACGCAATAGGTTTCCCTAGTTCGCGTGCGAAAACAAATTTAAAATATATGACTCATAAAATATCTCTCGGCGTGAATATAAAAAAATAGTCCATTCAAATTGCCGATTGGTACTCTGGCGGATATTTCACCGAGATTTTGTCGTAGCGGATTGCTCTGGCTACGATTAATTTACGGCTTCAAACTGAATCGCGCTAACGTATGAACCAGCCGACGCGACGCTGGATTTCGAGAGTTTACCGATATGACTGCGCGTACAACTGTGTACAACGTCTGTGTCTAATTGCATAACGTTGCATCGCACGAGATATACGTGTCACCTCGAAACCTCTCTCAAGGGATCAATCGTCTAGATAGTGATCCCAAAGCAACTCGTTGCCAAAGCAATCTATCTTACATATAGAGCCAGCTTTCAAGATATTGTTTCGTACAAAAATACATTAATTCTTATAATACAATTCAACAGAAAAAATGTCAAAAAGAAACAATTATTTTTTGCAATTCTTGATACAATGGTTTCAACCTTTAAAAACTGTTCTATCGCATCACAATGTGGGGAAAATTAAGATTAAAATTGTAAAGGAAAAACTATTTTAAAATTGTTCACCACGTTATAGTCACGATGACGTGCTAAAAAAGTGTTGTTTTATTCAAAATTGGATAAGCATATTATTGATTTAAAAAAAAATGGTTACAGTTAATAAAATTCTCATATCAAATATTGGACTTATTATCATAACCATGTTTTAATTAATTATTTGCTTTATGCATATATTGGCAGTGTTATATTGTGTATTAATTTTAATATTGAATTTGTATACAATTTGAGAAATTTGTACATAAAAAAATTTACAAACATGCAAAAATATTTTAACGTTTTATAAACTGATCATATCTGTCATATTAATCTCAATATTTTTTATTGATTTTGACATGAAGATTGTAGTCAGCATTCTGAACAAGTTATTAAGTTTAAATAAAAAATTAAAAAAATATTCTACAGATTGTCCGTAATATTTCTACTATATAAGTCTTTCGTGATAGATTTAATATTTTATTATAAAAGTTTTATTGATTTTAATCTTTACAGCAAATTTTCTATAACATCTGTAACATTTATGATAAGATGATTAAAGTGGACTTATTCTACAACTTTTTTAAATTAAATTTCAACCAAAACTGTGACACGATAGAAATTAAAAAATCCAAAGTTTAAGCATCAAAAATGTAAAAGAATTCTCTTCTTTTTATTCTATACTACTTTTTCTCTTGAGTTTAAAAATAAATTATTTTTCGTTTTAACTTGTATAATTGACAAGTCGTCGTTTCGACAAATACGAGAATAGATTTTTACGAGAATAGATACGAAGAGCCAACTCGACTATAATTTACTGATCTCTATAGCCATGACAGTTTCTAGCTGCTCTCTACCGTATTACACTTGCTTATTTATCGATCACTCGAAGCTCGAATTGGCAAGTCGGAGAAGGTTTACGACTTCGTTCTGCCTCATACGAATCAAGCTCATATCTCCGGGAAACAGTATATCCGCGAGCTCCGACGCCTGTAGCGCCTGCGACGGTCGTAAATGCACATGCAACGTTCGAAATCGTGAACGCCAACGAAATCGGTTTACACGCGTCAGCGTGACTGATAATGCAATCTCCCGTACAAGACTATACGGAAGCGCGCGCTTACGAAAATGTAAATAAAATCTCGCGGTTTGTAAAAGTGACATTGCGAGTGCGTCTCACTCATGCCTGTCACGCTTCTGCTCTTCCCACTTTGCAAGGTCGAAGTTTGTACATATACACGTATGTTGTATATGTATGCGGATTGAAATGCGACCATGTCACATATGTACGTGTGTACACACACACATCCACACATCTAAATGAGATTAGTCGTGAGACATTTTAATGCCATTAGCTCGTAGCGGTTTATCTCGAACCGCTGGTATGCATATGCAGTACTATATGTGTATAAAGTCTAATATGTCACGTAATTTCCTCGTGGATACGAGACATTGGGGTAAATTGACACAGCTTTATCTGACAAGCGATTAAGATTATTAAGCAATTTCTACACGTTTAATTATGCTCGCTCATAAACGAAATGCATCTGTCATATCAACTTTTTCTCCTTACAGTCCTTACAGATCAAGATCTTATCTGCATTCAAATATTTTTCGAAAGCTAATCTCTTTGAACCACATCTGGTGTATATAGTGTAAATAATGAAATTGATATCTTTTAATCTTTCTACTTATAAATCTACAAACACGGGAATTAATAGATTGTGAGATAAGTTAACATAATCTGTAAAACTACGAAAAAACAAATTATTTGATGCAAATAATAAAAAAAGCAAGTGTATTTAAAAAAAGATATTTGCAGATTGTAAACCCCATATTTCACGTCGTGCACCGTATATGTAAAGGCAGTTGTACAACGAATGTCGTGGCTTATGATGATCCTCGTCACATGTTTGAACACGCATACGTTGCACGCATGTCGGATGCTGCACGAATGTCACCTGCTGTCATTTCGTGAACGTCGAATAAATCATTGCCGGCGAGAGATATCCTCTGTTTGCTCGACGACCGAATCTCTTGCTTTTGAAAGCTTAAAACTTGCCGATTCAACGTTCGTGTATTGCAATAAACTATAGGGAGAGAGAGAGAGTGACATTTTATTAAACCGTCAAGAAATAACAAAACTAAAGTGACTCGAAGAATTTAATGTCAAAAGTAGAAATATCAAAGTTCTGCTTCAAGAAATCGTTAATTATAAATTTTCTTACAAGGTAAAAAATTTGCTAAATTAAATTTTCAGAAATAATCTGAGAACTTTTGCAAATAGGCGAACAAATATTGGAGTAACTGCATAAACTAATCGTTAGAACAAAAAGTACAAACATGTTTCATAAGTCAAGAATCAATTTTGCGTCTTGTGTGGTTTAAATATCTAAATTGTAAAAGAGCTAACTTTAATTCTATAATTAAAAAGTTGTCGTTATATATATTTAATAACATTATTATAAGCACGATAAAATAATTTTGCATCAAAGAGTATAAGAATGATTATTCCGTGCACGCAAATGATCGATCGAGTATTAAAATTAGTTGGATCGTCGTAAACCGTTGATTAATGTGTAACAATATCTGTATAAAGTTGGAACAGAATCTGAAATCGCGGGAACACTATTGTGTCGCTTATGTACATACTTAGGTATGTAGATTGCGCACCTCAACACGTGCCATTAATGGCTGATGGCTCCGAAACTCTCTCACGCCATTTTCCATCCTTCCACAATGAAAGGTCAACTCCTTTCGGCTCGCGAACCTTGTCGCGCGCGATAACAATTCATATAGTACGTAAATCCCCATATAGAGCCTTCCTTTCGATTGTATCCTTTTAGGTTTTATCACGCGAGTTCGCACTTTGCGCTGCATACGATTTTTCACTCGCGCGTGATCAATTCGTCATGTATGCCAGCCGGTATTCTTACGCTTGAAAACATTATTTATTTCGCAGCAGCAACGGAGTATTCGCAAAGCGAATCTAACTTATCTCTCTACGATTGTTCCAAAAGGATATATCTCTCTGTTTCGAGCGCGTTTCCGATTACGTTTATCTTTGCGGCTGCTCCTTTGTTTTCACGAATCATATAGGTATGTATAAACAACGGATACAGGAAATAATAGCACCGAGCTCACCATTACGTCAATGCTTTGGCGTTCCTCATGCTTTGACGTCCGACGCGAGTATTCCTTGACGTCGTGGGGACGATTCCTCGTCGGTCGAATCAGCGTGCGCTCGCACGTCACGCTGATTCATGATCGATGAATGCACTGTTCCTCTTTGCGAATACGTCACGCTTCCGCGCGGACGACCGGAAATGGGATGCGCTCGGGATGAACAGCTATTTCGACCGAATTCGCGCCCGCCAGTCACATTGAACGATTTGCGCTCCTACGAAACGCGCGCATTACGCTTCTACACTTCTCATTCACGATTTTGCCGGAAATCTATTATCTCAGTTTTCGATCGGGGAATTCCGATCAAGAAACATTCACCATTGTCGATCGTCCGTCACGTCGAAATCGATTACGAGTTTCGCGACGCGTACGTGATATATTTCGTATATATATTTGATGTATATGTGTGTGTGCGCGAAACAATTTTTTTTAGAGAAAAAAGAACCCCGTTTCACTTAGAGAAAAGTATAAACAACTTCTCGAGAGGATGCGAAGTTACGTCCTCGCGCGAATTAGTCTCGCTTCGGAAGTACTTTTTAATTCCGGACTTAATGCCGAGCGGCGACGCGAAACGTGGCGAAGCTACGCAACAAAAGGAGCTTGTATAGACTTTGGCAACAACCAAGACCGAGGGTGTGATGCGCACGACTCTCCAGCGGCAGTTGACGCGACACTAGAGAAAATCCGAGTCCGCGCTTGCCGCCACAGGACTCCGGACGCCTGCGCTCTCGGTTCTCGCCGCCACGAGCCACAGGATTTCGCATAAACAACGTGTGTCCGCGACACGCTGGTATTCCGGAAGACGAATGCACTGTCGAAAGTTCCTTACACACGCTCCGTCCCTTCATTTGAACAGACGCAACGAATTATTCCCGTCGTCGAATCGAAAGTGTTTACCCGATTCTCCGAACAAACATTCTCGGAGAGCCGAAATACAGTCGTCAGACACAAATATCCTCCTGGTTATACACATATCAGTAACTAGAAATTTATTCGGATATTTGGGTCGATATAGTGTCAGCAATGTAGAACGGAAGGGATCGATGATAATATTCGTATGTATATGGATAGCTAATACACTCCCGCGATTTCTATTACGGAAGATTACCGAGTTCTTTACCACGACGATAAAGGTAGATGCGTTCTTGCTACGTATAATGGAATCATAACATTATTCTAGATATAGCGGCTTCCCGCCGTCGAGTGAAAATCAAGTGAGATAGATCAGGTTTGATCCGTGCATTTCAGCAATCGTTTTCACGATTACATATACTCACAGTTTTTAATTATAATATATCAACTATAATAACTATTCGTAATCTTGAAATAGTATCTAGCTGTGTTGAAAGTTTACGTTCGGTGAGTACATATCGCCGTATGATTATACGAACGTCTCGCATAGCCAGCAATAAAAGCAACTTCCGCTTTAATTCGATATAACGTCGCAGCCCATTAAACTTGGCCGTTCTTCATCATTTTATCGCCAAGAAACCTCGTGGGTACATTGGTTGCGATCGGCGACCAACGACTCCGAATACCACTAAATAATATCGCTACGTGAACAAAATAATTGAATTCATTCGATTCTCCGCCACATATTAACGTCGAACAAAATATATATTTTGCACAATCTTTCATAAACGTTTTACTAAATAAAATCGACTTTTAAAATAATAGACTTGAAAACATAGATCTATTTTTATAAGTTTATGTGCTGGGTATTTTATGTGTGACATGTATTTCGTATATATATTTCTTTATGTGTAATATATATATATAGACATTTTTTGTTACAGTAATATCTGTATGATTAAATTGGATGATCAATTAAAAAGAATGTTTTCTATTGCATGCAAATAAAAAGTGCATTATGCACGAATGTGACATGACTTATTTCAAGAGGCAGGGACTTTCTTCTCTTCTCTTCGCGCTTTCTTCCTCGGCTGACTGCTCTAAAGTTTATTATGCAGCGTAATTCCTTTTTCTTTTCACGACAAAGTTCGTCTGACGTAACACGAATGATGGTCTCGTTTAAGTTTGCAAAGCGCTACGCCACACAATGGTTTTAACCGTAGAATTAGCTTTTCTGACGACCGTGCGTTTAACAAAGATTGAGGCGACGACCGAATGACGGGGATGGAGATAAAACAATTATTTTTCTCGATACTGAATATACAACTTGTGTCAATTGCATAAAAGTATAAACAAAAAAGTATTTGAACAAAAATCTGACATAGTAGTACTTTATTCATTTTGCTAGAGCGTTAATGAATATGCATCGTCAAGGAAAAACTCTCACGAAGATGAGAGGTAATGATGACATTTGAAAAATGAGCGAAATGAAATTCCTATATAAAAACCCTCTTATATGTCTATTTGCATCAGAAGCGTTTCTCCATCATCAATTATAACTGAAGAACAGAGATTCCAATATATATTTCTTTTCTTTACCCATTCAATACGCGTTTTAATATATCTAACTATCTTGAGGCTCGAGACTCTTTTCCGTTCTTGACGTAATTTATCCGTTGACATTTTTCACATAAAAATTTCTTTTAATTGTAATTATTATACAGAGCAATGTAAATTTCTTCCTATATTGTGTGAGAAAAAATCAGGGCTAACTTTATATATATATATATATACATATATTTACAAAGAGTAATCATTCATCCAATATCAATAAAAGAAATACATTACGCAGTAGCAGATATAGACGTAGGACACATTTCGCGAGATGATATCTTCGTTCTAATCGAACAAGATTCCTTCCGAATGATGAAACGACACAGTTTTCGAAACGTATCAGCAATCGAGAATCGTAAATAAGATTCCGACGATGTTACTTGGCGCGATTCCAGTCTTTTATCACAGATCGTAAAGCAGGTAAAGCAACGACACGCGCGTGCGAACACGTCGTATTTCACGATCCGTAGATTCGGGAATTAAGGATTCGGTAGAAACCCTCGGGCAGGCGATCTTTGAGTTCGAGTACAATTTCTAGAATACGCGTCTTAAACGCGGAATTATTCTCATACTGATGTCGCACGAGTTCCGCTCGTCCGTCGCCGTACAGGACTTGTTCGAGTTTGTCGGTCTCAACGTGAAAATATTGTATAATCGCCGATTTAGATAGCATCATTATTTGCAGATTGAGCGAGGCATAAAAAAGTGATATGTTTCGCGCCTCCACGTAACTCTCGCGAAACGCCATCCAGGACAGATGGCTGTTAATGTCGAGGCCTTCCTCGGCCAGACATTCTGCGAGCGAGTCGTGATAGATCTTGGCAAAAGTATCGAAATAACGATCCCTGATGCTTCGAGTGGTGGTGAGATATACGCAGCACGCAAAATCGATCGCCGGTGGACAGTAACATAAGAACTGCCAGTCTACGAGGTAACAACCGTTCGTATTGCCGGCCAGATCGTGTCGAAACATTATATTATTCACCCAGACGTCACGGTGACAGATGACGTTTCTATGTCTCTCGGACGGCGCCAATAATCGCGCAATATTCTGCGACCACGTGGTGATACGATGTTTAAGGTTGATTCTAGCGTCACGTCGAAATCCTCGGCAATATCAACCATTGCGTGAAGTCCCATAATACTAGAGGCAAGAAGTCTCTTCGATATATCGTCCTTGTCATTGAAGAGTATCTCGATCAGCAGGTGTCCGTAAAGATCGAGGATGGTCCGGTTCTCTTCTCGGCGGAGTCTCTCGTCCAGTATCAGAGATCTTGAGTGCAACCTCGAAAGAGTTCTTAGTGTCCAGACGCAGTGCTCCTCGTCGAACGGCACGTATTTGTCCAGAGTCGCGTAACCGTCTAACGAAGCGTCTTCCAAAACGATGATGGCATTCTGTTTGCCGAGATAACACTCCGCCATCCATTTCGGGAATCCACCCGTGCCCATTCGCTGCATTAGATCTGTATAAACGGCGATCTCTTTGTTGAACGTGTCGTAACGTTCCAGGAACCCGCACGACGGACTATCGGACGGCGGCGCCTTGGCGAAGAACTGCAAACTCCGCGTCTCGTCTTCGCCGCATCTTACCGAAATGTGCAAACGATAATATTGGCCGAGGAGGCCGTTCGTGTCGCGAAGGTGCTCCAATCTCCAGTCAACGAGTCGGAAGTTACCGCTGCCGAGTTTACGCTCCAATATTTTGTTAACGTCGCGATCAGTCAGGAGAGACTTTTCCGTCTGATGATCCTGCGGCGTCATCGGCAACGCGGAGCACGTCTTGTCGACATTTTTCGTCGCCATATCGCAACTGCATTAGATCGCGACGACGATGCTTGCGCTAAATTTATATAAGCGCCTTATCGCAACGAGAAATAATAATACGATTATTTCGACAAGACTGGCGCAATTTTTATTCGCATATATTTAGCTTACTATCTTTGATAGGTAGAGCGACGCAGATTGCAAATAGACGGCTCGGCGAAGTGACGCAACGGCAAATATCTCGAAGCGGATTGACGTAATTTATGTCGCATCGTAAATCTATCTCATATACTTTAGCAATGTGACGTGGAGAACGAATTTCGTGATATATACACCGTTTTCTGAGAGAAAATAAAAAAAAAAGAGAACAAAGAAAGAAAGGGGGAAAAAAGAAGGAGTCATGTATCGCGATAGTGTGTCTGCGTATTCCGGAAATTTACTGGCACAACCCGCCACAACGTGTGCGGTCGGCTCGAGAAAAATGTTGCGGGATGAAGTTGGAATACTTGCGGCTTGCAATATTTATCTTAGAGTATATATCTTGTGCGCCGGAGCGCGAGAGATGAACAATTGTTGCGGCAATTATCGGTTTGCAGATTTTACGGAAATAGAATACGAATCTCTAGAATAATCGAGAGAACCACTGTCGATAAACGCGCTTGCAATCAACGCATCGAGCGACGCAAGACTCAATTATAGTTGTAGTTGGACGCAACATCGTGGAAAATGGAATTTTGGATTCGTACGAATATCGTTAACGATTAATCCAGGGTGACCGCAAGTCCTGTTAATTAACGTCAATAACGCGCCAATTAAATATAGATTTAAAGAAAATATGCGGTTGACGTTAATTACTCGAATGCGTATTACGCAGCAAACGTAACTAAAGTAACGCCGCTTAATAAGTAGTTTGCGCGCGTACGCGTTTCCCTTTCGTCGCCGCAATCGTTGACGAATACTACTTGCGTGATTGCGTCGGGAGACGTGAACGAAATGACATAATAATAAGCATAATCCCGGGTACGGAGAAACCATTAAAGTCCGCCGGGTACTATAAAACAATTCGCGAAGTTTTCTCCCTCGTAACCGCCAAAATTTATTCGCCCTCACTGCGCAAACGCATCTAACTTCTCGGGAGCAACTATTAATGGGGTCACACTCTATATAGTCCTTTCGGTTACGTTACTTTACGATGCCAAAGGTAATTCGATTAACTGTGTCCCGAAGCCTGGAACGGAGACGAGCTCGCTAATATCAATGTATATACGGCGGAGTAACCAATTTAAAATTACTCCTAATAAGGTTTTTGCAACATTGTTCATCTACTATAGTCGAAACATTTTCCTCGGTTTTGAAAGGGCCAAAAAATTTGCCTGGTCGTTTTTAGATACATATTTAGCACACATAAATTACGACTAGATTGTTTTCACAAGTCGGGATAAAAAATCCTTGCAATTGCGTATTAAAAAAAGACATAATAACTTCTTCAAGTTTTAGATTTCGTAACAATTTTGTTGCTGCTAAAAATAAAACTTGTTGCGAGAGATATATATGCATCGTATAAATAAATAAAGGCAAAAGGAAATATTGCACGAGAAGTCTGTAATTGCCAGTCATCACGCAGTGCCAGAACCGACAGGAGAGAACCGTCGACCTTTTCCTTTTTCTGCGCAAACGTGAAGCGGCCACGCAGAGAGCCCGACAAAAGTGGAATTCTCATTAATTGACGCGGTACTAATTAGACTTTTAATTAACGAGATGAAAATAAACAACGATTTGTGAACAGATGTCGCGTTTCTCGTATCTCTAATGATTTAACTACCACCAGCGGGAGAGAGAGAGAGAGAGAGAGAGAGAGAGAGAGAGAGAGAGAGAGATCATGTCAACCGCCTATTAAATGCACATAAATTTGCGCATAGTCCTCAGTAGCGATTAGCAATTCGAGAGAGACGTGACGTGACGTGTCGCTTATCTCCGACTTTAATACTAAATGCAAAGTTCACAAGTGCATTCTTTTTTTTCCCCAGACAACTCAAATCGTGATTCCTCTTCAAATAGCGTAGTGTAATAATATGTAACGCTTTTGTGGAAAAAATCCACCGAGACGCGATGGAGTTTCCTCTATCTCTGCATTTGATTATAAATTTAAACCTTGCGTCGCCTCCGATTATAAAACCTTCGTCTGAACAAAGTCTCATTCTTCACTATCGGTCTAACGATATAAACGTGTATTATTTATTCGATTGCACGTCCTTCGCATCCCGTCTTCTATTATACGCTAGCAATTCCGTTTGTCCGAGGAACGTTTGTCTTAAAATATGCAACAACCAACGATTGTTCGAACGATTACCTACAGTCGCGATAAAACGCGATGCTAGATGGCATGTTGTCTTCGGGGCCATAATGCCGCTGGCGTTTTGAATATTGAAAGGGTTACGAATTGTTCGCGGGGCGTGACGTAAATTCCTGGACGTTATATAAATATCGGCGATAAAAAAGGAGTGGAAAAAATATAAAAAATTTATTCTGACATAAACGTCGCCGGCTAAAGTCACCACTTTCCGTGTCTTGAGTTTCAAGGATCTCGCGTGAAACTCGATGCCGAGTTGCGAGCTGAGAGCGGAAATTTATACGTGTCTGTGTATATATATGCGTGCTTTCACCTCTCTCTTTCTCTTTCCGTGGCATTTCCTTTTGAGTATTCGGAAGTAAAGCAATCCCGGTATCAGCCTTGCTTCCGCGAAGTGGCGCAGAAGACGGTAGAGAAGACAGAAACACCTAGGGACGTGAGAGATGTCCGCGAATTGCTTTGAAAAATGCGAAACAGAACTGTTTTGATCGTAGACGAGAAAAATACATTCGAATCGTTACAAAGTGCTGATACTGTAAAAAATAACTCAAGAAGCGCTATGAACTCTATTTTGTCAAAAGCGCGTTCCATCAAATTATACATACAATAATATTATATAATATAATCTACGATTAATATCGATCGTGATAATCGAAATGTCCGTAAACTTGAAGATTCGCGTGTACAAGAAATATATTAAGAATGTAATACGTATATGATGAAAAAAGATTATCCGCAAATAAGGAAGCTATTATATACATATATGTGCTAAGAATATCGAATTTAAACTAGACGGTCGATATATGTATATATGTAAGTCTTGAGAGAGTAACTCTATGTGGCACTATCCACATTTCATCTTTTATGTACATTGGATTCTTTTCACTGGTCTATCCAAGAAATAAATCCCGATAGCGAACTATACGTTCAAGTGCGATAATAGAGAAAGCGAAAGCTCGAAGAAGGCTAGAATATCGTATCGCGAGGCTAAAAGTATTTTGCTCTGAGAAGGAGAGCTCTCGATATAGTAAAGGTCGTTTATAAGAGAATAGATCGGGGGCATGAGTGGCATATAAAGTCTCGCTTTATTCCAATTATAGTATTATCGAGCTGTCCTTTTAAATTTTCTGGCGATTCACCGAGAACAAGCGAGATTATAGGAGCGAAAACGAATAAAATGACTTAATATCAAAAAGTTCCAAAGTCTCGATTGTATAGATAAAGCCGGCTGCTAGACAAAACAGGTCTCGAGGTTTCAACGTTCGTTCAAGTGGTAGAGGGATATAAGAGAAAGAGTATTTCTTTTATAATCGATTTTTACACGAGATATGCGCGGTGTAATATCGTTGTTTTATTGCAGTATCAAACTACTAAACGTAAAATAAAATATAATGATACAAAATTTTCGCGGCGATTAAACAAGAATTGATAATAAAAAATACGCAAATTAAAAAAAACGAAATTTTCAAAATGTTATACATTTCCTAAAAAATAATTTTACATTTCTTTCACGTTTGGATAGAATAAAATTTTGCACAATGATCTCTACTCTTGCTGAGGTAGAAAAATATTGTGCGTGCACATTTTGTACTGCGACAAAAATAATTCATTAATCAAAAGCGCTGTGCGAGACTATAAATTTAGAGGGTTGGAAGGGGGGAGGGGGGAGGAGCACAGTTTACGGCATATCATACTTTACTTGTTTCGCTCCCGGACAAATCCTATATATTGTCAATATTGTCACACGCTTACCCAATGTTTGAAAACACAACATGAGGCGTTAATATTAATTAGCAATTGGCATTCTCTGTCCGATATGTCAAATACTCATTTACCCTATCGAAACATTTGTTTTAACTCTAAAGCGCTAATAAAAATGCTAACAATAGTGTAATCGCGTTTAAAAAAAAATTTCACAAAAATGATGATAAAATATAAAAAACGAGAAAGAATAATATATAGTCATACTATAGTCATACTAGTCATAATTCAACATTATTAACTTAATACAGCAATATTTGAATAGAATAATAATAAAACGACACATTTATCAAATTTTTTAATAAAGTGTATAATTTTTAATTATTGATTTTTTTTCATTCGAGCACTGCGAGATCTCGTTTCGTGAAGGCTTCGAAAGCTAGCAAAGGATGACCTAAGGGAAGCGTTTCGTTCTGCTCTATCGGGTGTTAGATCGAGAGAATTCTATTCTCCGGCTATAGAAATCCTTGGTTTTGCTCGATCGAGCAAATCTCATGTCCGGATAATCGATTTGGACTCTATTCGGTCGACTGTACCAGTGATTAGCAGTCATCGGCACGACGTGACGTTTGTTCTCCTCGTGTATCTCCGCCCAAATGAGACTTGGCTTGGTGCGATCGCATCGCGGTTTACTCGGATCGAAGGGAGTTACGTTGTGCAAACGATCGTACGCCGATCTCGCGTCAGCGATTCTCCTCTCACGCTTGCGATTGTTGAAATACGTCGTCGCGTGTCGCTCGGTCCACGGTTCCGCCTTAAATTTATCGTTCCATCGATATATATACATATATCTACGCTTGCTAATTTTAGTTATTAGTTAATTTAAAACTGTTGCTTTACAAACCTTTAATAATTATTTTAAATATGATTGCAGTAAGACTTATATTATACGAATCTGTTTTAACGTAATGCAAAGTAATATCTCGCGTATACAAATGAATATGTCTTTTACGA